TTAGGGAAGGTCGGTTTCGAAATATTACTACGCTTTGTGCTAGCTGATAATACACCGACCTCTGCACGATGTGCGCAATGGTGTATGTCCGGAAGAAATACAAGTTGTTACCACCGGACATTGTCATTATATATCCACCATCAGCATCGTGTATAAAAGGGCATCACTGAGTGAGGATGCCTCATTCGAGAAGATGACTCGCTGAGGAAGATCTGGCTCGACAGGAAGGCGAAGACGCAACGTCGAGGCGAACAACAAGCATGGACCGTCGACTCGGATCACCGGCTCTGAGGAAGACGAAGACGTCGAAACGTTAGCCGAAAATAAATATATTTATCAACCTCGTGCAAGCTTATCAAGAAAGAATACATCTTTCATGATTGTTGTTCACCTTCCATGACTGCTTAACCAGTGTAGTAGAGCTTTCACGTCAGTGATGTTGCTTAACGTTTCACTTGTTTCCATTTGATGGATCTTAGAAGACTGCGCTCATGAAACAGCATTTGCTGCTGTTTGTGTGACAGATCGATCTAGGACACTGCATTACTGGCACACATGATTACCCTCTATCTTTAGCACTTCAACTGCCTGCTACTCGCTTGGATATTTTCATGAACAACGGTAATTGGAACAAGATTTTAAAGCTCAACGCAAACAAGAGGAGCTCGACAGTTTATTTTTGGGGAAATGGCAAACCATTTTGAGAAAGAAGTTATTAGTTAGGAGCATCGCCGTTTTTTGGTTCTACTGCCACACCTAAGATGACGTAATTGTGGGAATGTATTTAGTCGGTGTTTCTCAACAAAAATTTTTGTTTTACTTTCACCAGATATGTTGTCGTTTATAGACAAGATTGGAGGTTGTTGATCTCGTCGTCGATTTTGGTGATGGAGTGTTGCTCATGAATCTTCTTGAAATTGTGTCTGGAGAAAAAATAGGATGGCCGATCAGGTACGTTCACTCTAGACGACTGTTGTCCGTGGGAGTTTCTTTCTTCGTACGAGTTTCTGGACCTTCGTTGTGTTTAGAGTCCGCGTACGAATGCATAAAGTCGAGAATCTTGACAAGGTCTTCGATTTTTTGATGGAAAAGACGACTCACGCATGTTGTATACATACATACATACAATCTGGATCTCAATTCTTCGTCTTAGTGCGTTGAAGTTGGAGAGCTGTCCAGAAATCAAAGCTTCTGTACAAATACTAATCCGTTGACCTGTATTAGTTGTAGTTCCATTTATCCTCGAGTGAATGGAATATACTCCGCTGACTCGTCTTCGTTTTAATACTCTTTATTGTTTGCTCTTAGCGGCGAAAAGTTATCATGGATAACGTTTTATGCTTTTGTGGCTAGATCCACTTCTAGTTTAGTTACCGTAAAACTCAGGAACACTCCAACTGTTATGTGCGAGTAAACCCACTAGAGGTTGGTTTGCAACAGAAATGTAATTTCACAATGTTTTTCTCGCACAAAGCTGCATAAATTGAGTATAAGTGAGAATTGGCCCCAAGTGTAAATGCCTGTTATTGTTGCTCAGTTTGAGCAAAGGCAATATGGAAAGCAAACGAATTTTGAGGTATCTTTGGTGTAGTTAAGATTCAGTTTTGTTCACTACTTGGCCACAGATATGCTTAGAAGTACTTAGAAGTACCATTTGTTGTTTATTTTAAGACCTCTCTTGTGGAAATGTACCTAGTCTTGAAATATGTGCCGATTGTCTGTCGATGAATTCGTATTTAATAAATTGAAAACATTAAAGCCGAAGAAGTTTTGGATAAGAATGAACGTCTCATACTCGGTTTTATTTAGACAGTTATCTTTCGCTTCCAAATCGATACGATAGTGATTGAGGTCTGTTGCTTCCAGTAAATGGGATCCTGAACTCTATATGCTTATTTTATGCTCATCTTTACTCCTTAATTATGTTACATTTCTAATCACTGTTGTATTTTTTTGTGTCTGCCATTGAATTAGATTAAGGCCTTTTCCTGTTCATAGCTAGAGGACAATTACTATGAGGAAGAAGGAGAGCGAGGTGAGCGCAAAAATATGCCAAAGATGCACTTCTATTACGGTGCCAGCGTAAAACGACCGGTTACCGCAACGTCGGGGTAGAGAACTTTACGACGACTTAGCGGAATGGTTTCGCCTTTGATGCTCTTCTTCATGCACACAGGTACAGTTATAAACCAGTGGTTTAGTTTTCAATTACAACGCCTTCCTCCATTGTTGATTCTCTTCATATTTCTTCCCATTGATTTCTCGTGGATAATCACATGTTTAAAGCCGGAGAGTTGGTGAATTCAATGCATTGACTCTTATTGGTTATATTGGAAACCATAACAACGGCGCGTGTGTGGCTCAGCGATCAGATGCGCTCAGTAATACACATTGGATCGGTCCTCGCCCGCCAGGTTCACCACGCCTTCAACCCTCCGGGGTTGGGAAATTGATACCGGACTTGTCTGGCAAGATAACAGCACTGGCTGGTTATAGGTAGGTCACCGCGAATCATTGTAAAGGCGAGATAGGCATTTTTATCCTTTAATAAAGCTTTTGGCATTTCTGAAAATGAATTAGAAATTATGGTTCGTTGTTCTTACAGCTCTCTAAGCAAACTTTTTCGATGTAGATATTCATAGTGACGACAAATAAATTTGTCGTTTGCACCGTGAACGTGCAGCTGGTACGCTTAGTCTTATGACCTCTACAATTTAGACGTCCTCTTGAAGCTGAAGATGTTGATGCTGCTCGTCCAGATGAGAATTCGGTCATCATCTGCATGCCACTATATCATCACTTCCCAAAGCGAAAGACGGAGTTGAATGGAGGTGGTTGAGTGGCCAGTGCGGATCGATCTGTTGTTATTAAATTTTCGTTTGAAAAGTCATGTTTCTTGTTACCTTTTGCTAGGTGGTTTTTCTTAAAGTAGATACGTAGTCTTCCGATGTTATAAACGCTTTTTTGTTCCAATTGCTAGTAATGAAGGTAGTGCAGTGGTTGATGTATGAAGGTAATCGATCGTACTATGTGTTTTATCATGAAATTTATGAGTAGCGTAATAGACCGAAGTACTGTTCAAGCAGAAAAAACCATTTCCTTCGTAGATCGTTGATAAATTGATGAACACTGATGCAGTGGAAGAAGATTAAGGCCATATTCGTCAGACCTTTCGAAACGGAAAATCGATCAACTTGAGAATAGACGGTCTGGTATTTTTTTCTGTTTGCACTTACTAATCATATGCTTTGATACAGTATTTTGATTGGGATGAATTTATTATGAATAGTTGAATGTAGGATGCATTTGTTACGATTAAATAGGTTTCTCAACTCTCTGCCTGGCATGAGAGAAGAGCTCAGCAGGGTTAATCAATTCTACACCATTGAAAAGCGTCCGAAATGCGTTTTTCAAGGATTTTTTTAAAAAGATACTTCATGACTTTTGTTTGTGATCCTAGTGTGAATGAAGCTGACGCATTGCGGAGGTTCTCTTGAGCTTCTGCAGAATCACATCGTTTTGTTGCAAAGGAGCAGGGAAGATAGATAAAGGAGTAGATAATCAGTTTTCGGTGAGCGTCCCGTTGATTGAGGATCAGCTTACGATTGTAGAAAAGCACGATCATCTACTAACCACCGACTCTGACAGAATAACATCGGTGTAAGCAGCTTCTGGATTTATGTCGAGCTTGAAACAGGAAAAAACTTGTGCGCGTCGAAATTTTTTGAATAACTCAAATCAAATAGAAAAATTGAACGCTATTCTATTTGCAACGCATCTCACACGACTACAGAAAAGCTTTGGCTAGAAAAAAAAACTAAAAAGAGACTTAACCACACCAGCGAGAAAAAAGAGACTTCTAAAGACATAACGAAGACGGTTTATAACTCGTATGAAATGCTGAGATATTTGCAAAACTCCGGACCACAGGTGTATGCAATGGAGAACGAACACGCGCTGTTGTCGTTACCGGGGAGCAGCGCACTTCACCACTACACTATCCGGGTCTTTCAATTTGCGTGTATCTCAGCTAGTTCTATCGATCTTTTTTGCCATCAGCAGTTAAGATTGTGATTATAACTAAGCCTCAGCTTAACTGGGTTCAATGCCGATATTGGCTCCCCAGATCAACCCCGTTGACGGGTGATTGCTGGTGCTATATGGGTGCTATATGGGTCGAAACAAAGATTTCTTAAAATATATTTGGAAAATAGGAAAAACAACAATAGAGCACTTATAGTTTTCCAT